GAGGAAATGAATTGGCACCAGCCAACGCTGCCATCACAGATGCTTTTCATTCCCTTTGAGAAAGGGAAAAGAAATTCCCATTGCCATGTCTTCCCAATACTAGAGTCATTCTACTGGTGTCTCTCCATAATGGACAAAGGGCACATGTTCTAGCACAAACAGCCATTCTTAGTTGTGGCTTCTGCAAGGCTAATTGGTGATCCCTTTCTCGTTCCCGGATTCCATTCATGGATTCTGTGAAACGTAGGGAGGATGAAGGAGAATTAACGATCGCACCAAAATATAAACCTAATTAAAGCTTTCTGAGCCTCGGGAGGCTTAGAAGATAATTAAGGACTGAAAAAAAAGGGTTGTTGCTTTTTTTTAAAAAAATGATGTTGTGTCACTGTGTGGGTTTATCATTTGAAACAAAACAGGCGTTCAATTATCGTGTGTATAATTCCAGCGATCTTCTCTGACAACAATGGCGGGCACAGTATTGTCGGAGAAAAGACAATAGTCTTTTGTCAGTGCTGTTTTACTCAGTCCCCCGTAATTAATGGAGGTAAAACATAACATTTGAGCAAATGTCATTTAATCAAATGTAGCGGTAGGTCATTAAGGTCACCAAACAAACAAACAAACCAACAAAATCGAAACCAAACTTTTGTTTAGGTGCCGTATATAGCACCTCTCCTATTTTGTTATCCCAGTCATGCACAACTACATACATTACTAGCAGGATTTAAATTAAGACTTTGATCCATTTGCAGCCATCTAGACAGTCCCCTGGACTGCAAGTCGATCAAACCGGTCAGTCCTAGAGGAGATCAACCCTGAGTGCTCTTTAGAAGGCCAGATCCTGAAGTTGAAACTCAAGTACTTTGGCCACCTAATGAGAAGGAAGGACTCCCTGGAGAAGAGCCTGATGCTGGGAAAGATGGAGGGCAAGAGAAGAAGGGGACGACAGAGAATGAGGTGGCTGGATGGAGTCACTGAAGCAGTAGGTCTGAGCTTCAATGGACTCCAGAAGATGGTAGAGGACAGGAAGGCCTGGAGGAACGTTGTCCATGGGGTCGCGATGGGTCGAACAGGACTTCGCAACTAACAACAACAAAAGACAGGAGGGATTAATTCCCTCCTGATTCCCCTTCGTGCCAAGAGTGATGAATCATGGATCCTAAATCATGCCCCAGATAATGATCACCAAGTTGTCATTATCATAGTCATACTACAATTACTGATTGAGTGACATCATGAGAGGAAGTTGCTCTTTGAATGTCTTTTAAAACAAAAAACAAAAAAACACCAAATCAGTTGAAACTGAGTTATAGACACATACACAGAGGAAAAGATAAGAAGTTTTGTAATATTGGATGCTTCTCCCTTAAAACATTTTGTAGCGAAAACTGAATTTGATGGGAATTCAGAGCTCAAGGATCTCTTGTTCCTTTGTAGTTCTACTCAACCTTTGGGGGGGGGAAGTGTAACCTCTTCTTGTACAAACAGTTAGCTAAATGGAGTAAATCGTATTTATTTTATGACTGGGAAAACAGTTTATCTTAGGAGTAGTAGGATGCAACCTAAGGATTAATTATGCTCTTTCTTATATCTGAGATTCAGACAAATCTCAGGCCATAAAATCTGTTCCCTTCATTTATCTGTTTCACATTTTCAACAATTTGCTGAAAACTGACATGAATTTTAAATAAATACGCACGGATCCTTCAGAGACATAACCTTGAGATCAACTCATTAACAATAAAAGAAATACAAAGTGACAGTATGTAGCCCAACAAATTTTCTTCTACACTGGTAAGCTGTTCAGGACTTATATCCTTTCAAAGTAGACCATCTATATCTGGTTCCAAATAATTATATTTGGCACTGACAGTGTACTTTAATGTATGTATAAACATTATAGATTATATGGCAATCAAAAAGCATGAGACAAACAGTTATGCAGCACAGGGACACAAAAACACAACATGACTTACTGCAACCCTGTCATTCCTAACTGCATAAAATATATTTCCATTATCTTTTGAAGTTTTGCCTTTTCAACATATTATCTGGAGTCAAAGTTAAGTCAAAGTTATTAAGATACACTATCAAGCATAAACATATATATTTTTTTCAAAAGCCAGGAGATGTTTACCCGATGTAATGCATATGTATCTTAGTCCTTGTAAATCAATGTGCTATATAATTGACTGTCATAAAATTATAGGTAATACTAACCAGTTTTAAAAATATGCATATTCAACAGAGCCAATTATTCGAATTAATTTTTCTTTCTTAAATGTCTAGCCTTTCAAGACAATCCATCTGCAAAATTAATGGGTTTCCCGCTCAAATATTATAGAGATATACCTATCAATTAACTACTATACAAGCTGTGACCTATTTGGTCATAGTTTAAGAGATATTTCCTTACTGGATTCTTTAATGCTTTCAACAATGGCAGAACGTCTAACGTACTTGAAAAGGTCTTAAAAAATTAGTGAGATATTCAGAGATATATCTGCCTTAAAAATAGCCCATGGAGCACAACCCAACATCAGCACTAGAAAATGTTTCATGAGATTATGCTTTACAGTAATTTTTATGTAATTAAAATGTTTTATTAAATTTGCAAAATTTCAATTCCACAAGAGTCA